CCTTTTGAGGGGTGCCTATGTTCAGCAGAGAGTTAACGGCTGGTAGGATGGTGATGATCTCAAAAATAAAGTTAATGTTAAAAATATGGACCCGTATGGACGCATTTCTCTCTCTTTCTCTCTCTTTCTTCCAGTTGAATAATTGATATAATATTGATAGTTCTTTAGACTAAAATACTGTATATGCCGCTCTAACTAATATACCCAATTTTGAATCAACGCCCAGCAGTGGGACATTAATGAACTGTAATGATGTTTATCGATAACCGAGACACTTTTAGAAATATTTTATTAAAATCTTACTTACATTACCCGGAACTTTTTTAATTTATCAATATTTTATTTATCTATGGTCGAAAAGAAATTCATGGTTCTAAATTTGAAATTTTCGCAAGCGTAGAAAGAGGATGCCTAACATAAACTTAGTATAACGTACCTACTACATAATCTAAGATGCCAACTGTACTTGATTGGGGGGAAAAGGGATTGTTAGTAATGGAGACTAAGAATCCCATTGCTAGCAATATATCCAACCAGGTCGACCTCCTCGCGGTTCCCCCTGGAAACTATCATGGTTAATTCCTGATGAATTCATCATGATGGGCTATCTGGCCTGTTTTCATCCTCATCGATCACCCTTCACTGGTGCTCCACCAGCGTATCCCATTAGCGCAGGCGGGGTTACCACTCCATTTTCATCCAATAAAAAAAAACTGTACTTAATTTCGCAATTACTCATAATTGTTAAACTGCTCACCGTCCACCGTCGAAATGACGAAACTAAAAATGTTTTATTTTACATATAAAACTTAGATAATTTTACGGATAATATTCATAAAATCTAATACAAATCCAAAATCGAAATCTCGTTTAATTTAATTATTATTACAGTAATTAAGAAGTGGTCATCATAATCACCTATTGTTTGAAATTCTTCGGTTTTATTGATTAAATTTCAAAAATTAAATTATTGTATAACTCAATAAATAATAAAAAATATATCTCACCAAAGAAGGGAGACTTTGTACAAAAGTCGATTGCTTGGGTACCTCTGTCCCATTCATGTTTCTACCGTGAAGCAGTTGTATTTGCATGGCTGTGTTTCGGTTTGAAGGATAGGATATGACGTGAATTTACAGGGTACAGAGAAATAACACCTGAGTCCTCAGGAATGGCAACACATGGAGGCTATCATGGGCGAAACAGTACGTTCTGTTATGTCCATGGTACTACTCATGTCTATGCGACGGTTACCACTTTCTATCAGGTGGGCCGTCAGCTTGTTTGCTATTCTAAGTTATATATAAAAAAAAAACTCAAACATAAAAAAAATATTATCAAAAGATCTCCCCGACGGGGAATTGAACCCCGGTCTCCCGCGTGACAGGCGGGGATACTGACCACTATACTATCGAGGACTGCGTAAACTATATCGAAAATGTAAATAACAATCATATTAGTTTCTAAATTAAAAATAATGAAATAATAATGCAATAAAAATGTGCTAGATTTGTACATTAAGCAATTCTTAAAAGGCCGGCAAAAAATATGCACTACCTCCAGTATTGCAGATGCTCATAGGCGGCGGTAGTAACTTGCCATCAGGTAAACCACATGCGCGTTTACCCGCTGTGTTATAAAAGAAAAAAAGTGTCCTTGCGTCTGTTTGTTTGTAACCACTACAGACAGGAGGGAAAGAGATCACGATGGGGCCACAACGTGGTACAATCCACGTCGAAACAGGCAAAAGCAGGTATGTAAGTACTATCTACCTGTAAAAGCTTTTTTTTATTTTATTTTTTATTCACTTAGAATGTCAATCAAGCTGACGATAACCTGACCATCAGGTAACCTGATGGTAAGCGGTTACCGTAGCCTATGAACGCCTGCAATACCCCTGGTATTGCAGGCGTTCATAGGCTCAGTGGTATAAAATATATATATATATATATATATATTATATATATAAATATAAAGTAGTACTTCGTAATGTGCAACCATGCGATAAGTCGCTACTTCACTTTGAAACCTTTGAGTGAGCCACTACTGTGAATTCGTTGGATCGTATAAACAACTTCGAATACTGTACACAAACCGAGCTTTTACGGTTACCAGGTACTTGAGACTTTTTTTAAAGTTTTTTTTATAATTTAAAAGGTAAAAAATAAACCGGTAAGTACTTACCTAAACTTTTTACTTATATTTATACTAGCTTCACCCTCGACGTGGGCCACGTGATCGGAATATTTTAAGTAACAGAGATAAAAAGTATCCTCTGTCCTTATCCATCCTATATAGTTTATACCAAGTTCCGTAATGATTGGTTAAGGGGCTGTGAGGTGACAAACAAAAAACTCATTTTCACATTCATAATATTAACTAGCGACCCGCCCCGGCTTCGCACGTGTACATTACATCACATCACATTAGATACCTCTAAAACTATCAGTGTTTCTCTACTATATTATGTATGTATTTTTTTTTTATTAATGGATGATAATGGAATGGCCACCCCGCCTGCGCTAACGGTATACACTAGCGGGGCACCAGTGAGGAGTGATAGGTGAGAATGAAAAAGCAGATCAGTTAGCCCATCGTCCTGAAAACACCTGGAATTCAGCTCGACGGTTTCCAGGGGTGACCACGTGGAGTTCGATCTGACCGGTTCAATTGCAAGCAATGGGACTAGTAGTTCGTATTACCAACAATCCCCCACCCCATTATGTATGTATTATGCATAGTTTTAAAGATCTATGCATACATAGGGACAGACAAACGGAAAGCGACTTTGTTTTATACTATGTAGTGATAACGATTAAAGATAGGTACTATCCGTTACCTATATATTGAATACTTCTGGTCATATGGTGACCATTCATTGCGATACCGCCCATACCAGTATGCCTATATTCATAACGAGCGTATTGCATATATATTCATAATATACATATATATTCTTTTTCGATATTATATACTGGATAACTAATATCTAATATATATGTTATTGGGCTAATATATGTATAGATATTGTTACTACAATATATAGATGTTGCTATACTCGTATATTACCTGCCAATATTTTTTTTAAATAAGTTATTATTAATATCTTTTTTTTTAGGGCAAAATTTTGAGTCTCCTTACTAACTTAAAAGTTACACGCGCCGTTTTTTTTTGTCGTTTTTGACCCACGTCGCTTTGATGAAAATGTTTACACTCACTGGTAGAACACTCCTTTAAAAAAAATGCAAACGTTAATAATTACACCCTGTATACCATACCAGCCGTTAACTCTCCACTGCTGAACATAACCCCCTTAGGGAGGGTTTTGCCAGTAATTGCCACGCATGACAGGCGAGTTGGCAACCGCAATTTTTTCTATGCAACTTTATTTATTTATTTATTTAAAGGAACACCAACAGTATATTGCATTATAACATACATAACAAACATTAAATACAATACAATATCAATGCACATGCCTATTATAAGTATTCACAGCATTTACTTTAACATAATTATACAGTGCGAAAAAGTGAAGTAACAATTATAATGAATTAAATAACTTAGAATGGCAAACAAACTGACGGCCCACCTCATGGAAAGTGGTAACCGTCGCCTACAGACATGAGCAGTACCATGAACTTAGCAAATCAACTTTGGTGGTGTTTTAAGACGGACGCTGCTGCTCATCTTTCAACCATTAAATTCTCTTCGTTGCCTCTTACGAGAAAGGCAGAGCAGTCCTATATATTGCCCGCAAAAACACTTAACAAATTCGGTAATTGTTCAATTTACAGCAAAATAAACCATTAAGTGGCCATTACATTGTTTGTAAACTTTACATCTTACAAAGCTGCTACATTTACAACTTACAACTTAGTTACATAATACAATTTTACTTTCAGAATTTATAAATGAACGCGAAAAGATTCGCTAACACAATAATGTAATTTAATATCAATATTAAAACCGCATATAGGCCAAATGGAAAATAAAAAATAAAGTAAGTAAAATAGGTACCTTTTTAGACATGGATAATATCGGTGTTGCGGGGAGAAAGGGATTGTTAGTAATGCGGAATACCAGTCCCATTGCTAGCAATATACCCTATCAGGTCGACCTCCCCGTTGTCCCTCCCTGCAAACCATTGTGCTGAATGCCAGGTGTATTCATCACGATGGGCTAACTGACGTGCCTTTTCATTCTCACCTATCATCCCTCATTGGCGGGGCACCAGTGGGTATATATATATATATATATATATATATATATATATATATATATATATATATATATATATATATATATATATATATATATATATATATATATATATATATATATATATATATATATATATATATATATATATATATATATATATGGTTGAAAAGTGGTAACCGTCGCCTATAGACATGAGCAGTACTATGGACATAACAGAGTATACTGTTTTGCCCATGATACCGCCCATGTATTGCCATTCCTGAGGACTCAGGTGTTATTCCTCTATACCCTGTAAATTCACTGTCATATCCCATCTTAAGTTTTTTTGCGGGTATTTTGATTAGTGATCACGAACTTTTCGGTTGTCTACAAAATTTATTATAGTTAATTCAAGTAAAGCATTAAACAAGGTAAAAGTTTGTGAAGAGCCACGATCAGACTGTGAAATTTGCCATATATTGTTATCTCGGTGGAAGATTTCATATTTGTGAAGTTACTTGTGTTGTGAACAAATTGCTAATGACAGCTACGCCTTTGTATATTTTTATATTGCACATCTGAGGAATTTGAGACCTGTGATATCGAAGTATTGATATTTGACTACATTAGGGAAAGTGGAATGGTGTGATATTGGAATTTGGATATTCCTATTATCAATTATTGAAAAACGGTCTTTTTGTTAACAGCGCCATCTGTCGCGTTTAATATAAACTACTGTATTTTACTTTGTGTCACAAGTACATAGCTGAAGATATTTTTAAAAAATGAATAAATGTGGTGCTTGCGGAAAATTTCTGTCAGCGACGGGCGGAGCTATTGTAAGTTGCACGAAATGTAAGATAAGATTTCATAAACTATGTGTTACTATGGAGGTGTCTGCAAACATACCAAAAGGTTGGATATGCCCCTGTTGCACGGTGAAGCAACCCAGACAGGATAATACGAATACTCCTGTCAAGAATATTAATGTAGAATCATCTCCCGATTTAGATTCAATACAAACAGGTACCTTTGCTGAAGTGGGACAGACCGAACTAACATCACCTGATGTAAATAGCATCGAGTCCGAGTTATTATCTGAAATGCGTGCATTTCGAAAAGATCTTCAGACAGTCAGAAATGAAATGTCACAGTTGCGCAATGACATACTAACGTTGAGAGAAGACATGCTATCTTGCAATAAAAAAATTGCTTTAGTGTGTGAAAACGTAGAAAATATAGAGGGACGCCTTGTGTTACTTGAAGCCGAAAATAGAAACGTCTCTGAATTGGAGTCAACTGTATTGCAATTACAACAGGAACTAAACGATAGAGACCAAGAGATGATGGCGAATGATATTGAAATAGTGGGGATACCAGAGCGAGCTGATGAAAACCTACTGAATTTAGTAACATTAGTTTCTTCTAAAATAGGCATGTCATTCATGAACGAGGAAATTGTGGATATGTATCGTGGTGGTCCGCGTCGACTCCTAGTTAACGAGAAAAATGAAATACGTCCGCGACCCATCGTGATACGCTTTACACGTCGTTCAATCAAAGAGCGTGTTTTGAAAGAGGCGCGTGTGCGCCGCTCTATCTCAACGGCTGATGTTTTTCCAGGTGAAGTGAAACCAATATATATTAATGAAAGGTTAACTAAAAGAAATAAGATGATATTCGGTAAAGCGAAAGATGAAGGGAGGAAACGAAATTGGAAATTTATTTGGTCAAAAAACGGAAAAATATATGTTCGCGAAAGAGAAGGAAAACAATTTTACCATCTGAGAAAGATGGAGGACGTCGCAAAGATTTTTGGCGGTACCGGGTCTACCGGTACACCTTAATCTTGTTATTATTTTGTTTCTTGTTATCATTGACTCTATACTCCACATCTATTAGGTTAGCAAGTTTATTTTGTTTATATATACAGACACCATTTATAATTCTCTATCTAGCACTAAGAATCATGTTTATTTAGTATTTCACAGTGACAGTATCAAGCGGTTTTTTAGGATTGAATTACCTAGAGTATTTTTAGTTTTTTACAGAGCTTAAAGGCAAAGTTAATAGTTTAATTTTGGGACTATTAAATATTAGATCAATTAATACAGGTGTTGACGAATTAAAGTATTCTATAGATAGGTACACTCCGGATATTTTAGCCCTAAACGAAACGTGGTTAAGAGAGGGCGAGGAGACTTGTGCTCCGGTTATCCCGGGATACACACTAAAACATGCGTCACGAACTGGAGGTAAAAGAGGTGGCGGTGTGGGCTTCTTTGTAAGAAATGAACTACGTGCTCGGATACGCCCGCATCCTTCGGCTTCAATCGAACAACTGTGGTTGGAACTATCATTACCTGGAGGACTGCAAATAGCTATTGGTACAATCTACAGAACCGAGGCTATCTCCATACCAATAGCCACTTTTCATGGATGCCCTCAGCGAATCTGTAAGTGCATTTTCGTATTGTAATCACATTTTCTTACTCACCGATTTTAACATAGATCTTTTGCAACCCAATAAGAAATCAGCGAATGAATTACTTACTCTACTATCGCAACAAAATCTACAACAAATAGTCACCGAACCAACTCGAGTCACTGAACAATCTTCGTCACTCTTAGACCTGGTGATAACCGATTCTGCTCATTTATGTAAGAATATTAAAGTCCATCATAATCCAATTCTCAGTGATCACGCTATGATTGTTTCTGAATTTTATTTTAAGAAACCTAAAATCTCAAAAAGATACTTAACTAGACGCTCTTTACAACACATAAATGAAAAGGATTTTTTAACAGATCTTAGCTCTATAGACTGGCTAAAAGAAATGGAAAATTTAAGTATAAATAACATGGTAGAGGTATTTAACAAAAGAATTACAGATTTATTTAATAGGCATGCTCCTTTACGTCGTATGTATATTAAAGATAAGCCTAGCCCTTGGCTCACGGGCACAATAAGGAAAATGATGTCTCTACGCGATGTTGCCTTAAAAAGAGCTCGTCTCACTAACTCAGAATCTCACTGGAAATACTACAAAGATCTACGTAATCTAACAAATAAATCTATTGACAGAGAAAAGAAAGCTTTTTTTGAGTACTATGTCAATAATAACCTAAAAAATCCACAAAAAATGTGGAAATACTTAAAGCGATCCTCAACTGTAGGAGGTTCTTCTCTACCAGAAATTCCTCAAAATCTTAGAGATCCTAATAATATCAACAACTTTTTTTTAGATATTCCAGGTACTTCCTATATAGATAATGATATGTATAATTATTACTCAAGTAATAAATATGGGAATGGAAATTTCGAACTGCGTGAATGTAGTAGTGATGAAATTTTAAAATATTTAAAGAGCATTGAAACACAAACATCGGGACACGACACTATTACAATTCAAATGTTACGTATGACCCTACCACACACGTTAGATGCTATTACCGATATTGTTAATACATCAATACGAACTAAAGTATATCCTGATTTGTGGAAGCTTGCTAAGGTTATGCCATTACCTAAAAGTAATAAAATAGAGTCATATAAGGATTTGCGGCCCATTAGTATTCTTCCCATTTTGTCAAAATTGATTGAAAAAGTTGTTTGTGGACAATTAACCGATTATATGGAGAAAGAGAGAATCTTGCCTAGTATTCAGTCTGGTTTTCGGCGTGGTTACGGTACGGCAACTGCTTTGGCTCAGGTAACAGATGATATAATAGCCGCGTCTGATGTAGGAGAGAACACATTATTGATTTTGCTCGATTTCTCAAGAGCATTTGATTCTATAAACCTTGATCTTTTATTGGCAAAAATGGCGTATTATGGCATATCAGTTGAAACAAGAAAATGGTTTGCATCTTTTCTAACAGATCGTCAGCAGTATGTTGTAATAGAAGGGGAACAGATAGAAATACGGTCAGAAACAAAATATATAAATAGAGGTACGCCGCAGGGCTCTATCTTAAGTCCTTTACTATTCACACTGTACACCGCTGATTTATGTCGAAATATAAAACACTGTAAAATGCATCTCTATGCCGATGACACACAGCTATATTACTCCTTCCCTGTTAGTGACGTTCAAAAGGCTGTGGAGCGAATTAACCAAGATTTGGATATTGTCTATAATTGGGCTAATCAGAATAACCTTATTTTAAACTCCAATAAATCTAAATTCATGGTGTTGGGTTCGAAATATCAATGTGAAAAGCTGAAAGGTAGTAACATGAACATCATAATAAATAATCAAGGAATCGAGAAAGTTTCCACAGCAAAAAATCTCGGCCTGTTATTAGATAGTAACTTACGATATATAGATCACATTAATACAAAGATTAGAAACGCATTCTACAGATTAAAGGTATTGTATGGTATTAGGAAATATCTTTCCGAAAAGGTCAGGTTCACTCTAGTAGAATCGTTAGTTCTATCACATTTTAATTACTGTGACGTGGTTTACGGCCCCAGGTTACTAGCAAAAACTGCTCATGCCATACAACGAGTTCAAAACGCATGTGTACGTTACTGTTGTAATGTTCCAAAACGCGGTCGAATTACTCCAATACTTAATGATAAAGGTATCTTGAATATGTCATATCGAAGAGAACTCCATTTGGCCAGTTTCATTCATAAAATTGCACATAATAAAAAACCTAAGTATCTATATGAAAAAATTTTTTGGACGAAAGATATACATAGTCGAAATACTAGAAGTAAATTTACAGACAGAATTAAGCTTCCTGCACATAAAACTGTTTTCTTTAGAGGAAGTTTCAGGTTTTCTGCAGCAAAAATCTGGAATGATCTACCACCTCCTTTGCATGTTAATATGTCCCAAATTACTTTAAAAAATAAACTTAAAAAAGTCTTATTGGAGAAACAAATTCAAAACAGTTGAAAAACTGACGCTTCACGTTCTTTTTATTTTTTTATGATGCTGTCATTGTGAAGTGCGATAATTTATTCAGAGTTTATTCTTCTCGGTTTTGGTTGTAATTTTTTGTGTATTTGTTGTAATGTTTTATGTATTTATTGTAATGTTTTATGTATGTGTTGTAATGTATTATGTATTTGTTGGTAAGCGTGTTGAGTCTCCCATCCGAGAAATAGGTATTAGCGATCCGCACGCATGCTAAAGGTAAAGAAGTTAAGGGGCCGCCTGAAAATCAGCGCTATATAGGTACATCTCGCTGGAGCTGTACATATATAGCAATAGCTGAGGCGGCTCCTATTACCAGCAACATTAATTGTTTTTTTTTTTCCTTTTTGTTGTTTTAATTTCTTAGTAAAGGTAATAAATGTCATCTATCTATCTATCTATCTATCTAAATAACTCCCCTGTATAGAAATGATCTAGTTGTAATTTTACCATATTAGTACAGTGATAATTGACTGGTAGAGAATGCCTGTCTATATATAGCATTAAATTCACCTTTTATACCACATTTTACTGGTAAAAAAAAGTTTAATTTATATTTTTATATATATATATATTCTTTATTGCACTAAAACATACAGTAAGAACAATAAGTTAATAATAATGTAAGCAAAGGCGAACTTATCTCTAAAAGAGATCTCTTCCAGTCAACCTAACGCAGTGGCATAGGAAGTAGTGAGTGGGCAGTAGTAGTGCAAGACAGAAGTTAAAATAATTATTATTAAGAAGTAAGATTAGTAAAATAGACAAATAAAATTACATTACATTCCCTATTGTCAAAGGAAACTTGTTCCTTCCATTTATTATCTGATAAGAAAATAAATCCATAAACTGAAATTCTGTTTTCAAACAAATGAGAGAACATCACCATATATATAAAGAGATCAGTAACAATTTAATAAATGCCATATTTATCCCGTTATCAAATCGAGTCATTGTCAGTCAGCGGGCTGTCGACGTCGATTGGATTGTCCCGGAATCATTGTGTTGAAATTTAATATATCCTCTAGAGAATTGTTTCCGTTTATTGCAATATTTATAACGGTACTACCTACCCGCTGCAGCTCAGCATGTATTTTTTTATTTATTTATTTATTCATTAGTATATATATGTGTACATGGCGGACTTAATGCCAAAACCATTCTCTCCCAGTCAACCATAGGGAAGTGTCAGAATACTCGAATTCGGTACTAGTAATTATTGTTATACATATATACTAAAATTACATATATAAACGAATAAGTATATATAAATAACAAATATACTTACACATATATAAAATATACGAACCTGAGAATAATATAAAGTACTTACACGTATGTACTAATGAAAAAAATGGGACCAAATTTTTCATTTCTCCCTACGATTTTTCAAGTATTTTCTTTCATAAAATTTCATAAAATGTTCTGATAGTAACAAACACAATTACAGAATTCCCATCGTTAATAGAATTACAAACACTGGGACTGTTAGTGATGCGGAATACCAGTCCCATTGCTAGCAATATACCCTGTCAGGTCAACCTCCATGGTCCCTATATATATATATATATATATATATATATATATATATATATATCATCCCTCACTTGCTGGCTTGCCGTTTCATTATTATTTCAACCGTTAACTGTCCACTGCTGGACATAAACCTTCCCAATAAGGGGAGTTTTGCCATTAGTTGCCACGTTTGGCATGCTATTGGCTAGATTACGCTATTTCATTATCATATCATTACATTAAAAAAGACCAGAGGGAGACTTTATACAAAAGTCGTTTACTTAGGCACCTCTGTCCCATGCGTGTTACATTTGTGAAACAGTTGTGTTTGCATGGCACAACTTAATGGAAGAATAGAGTGAATTTACAGGGTATACACCTGAGTCCTCAAGAATGGCAACGCATGGGGGGTATCATGGGCGAAACAGTATACTATGTTATGTCCATGGTACTGCTCATGCCTATAGGCGACGGTTACCACTTCCCATCAGGTGGGCCGTCAGCTTGTTTGCCGTTCTAAGTTGCATAAAAAAGTACAATATTTCACAGGTAGGTGCCTAGTACGTAACACAACGCAAACTACCATGCAACTAAAATACAGGCATAAACTAACTTCGGCAGAACAATTAAGCGCTCCGCGCCTGCAAACGACATACAATTAAAAGTTCTAAAAAAACCTCTTAATTTTTCGTTTTTATACAAACTTTGACATTTGGCTTCGAAACACTATTAAGGCAATGTAAATAGGGAGGCAAGTATTTAAGTATTTTTAAAAAACAATCAACCATCTCAATTGCGGACAAAGTATAGACTTTCTTTTTCACTGCAAAATATTTGCTATTTTTAAGTGCATTTAAAAAAAAAGCATGTTCTCAATTCCACCAGAGGGAGACAGTACCAGTGGGAGACTTTGTACAAAAGTCGATTGCTTGGGTACCTCTGTCCCATTCGTGTTT